GCTGCAGGAAGCTACTGAATATTTCTATGCCATGTCCGATTTTGCATTCTGCAAGTCATGGACTTTCAGTTTCTTTCATGAGATTTTGCTGTCAAAAAGCTATCTCAAATATTATGCTTAAGAGATCACCTTTCTTAGTTTTCCTCTATTGCCTGCAGATAAGGGGCACACTTAAAGTCTGGTAATTTAACTTACACCTCTATCTCCACATGCAGATCTCTCAGTGTAGGAAGTCTGGTTCTGTTTTGTTTTAGTTACCTTGTAGTGAGACTTTCCAAGGTTAGCTGTCTTATGTTTCCTCATAAAGTTAGTCAGTCTTTCCCTACTCCAGTTTTTTTCTCTAACATTTCTGTAGTTTGCCAGAAACTTTCTGGACCCCGAGAGATTCAGAAGTAATCTTACTATAGCAAATATAAAAGAATGACTGTGCTGGTTCTGTGATTTGTGGCTTTCCATTAAATGGACCAAAATTCACTGCTGTCCCATATTTATCTACCCAGCTCCTAAGCACCAGGAAGAGAAGGCGGGAGGGTGAGTAATGCCGTGCTTTGACTGATGGTTCTGCCGCTGCTGGTTCTCACTGAACAGCCACCAGATGTCTTTTAAATCAAACATGTTGTGCTCTTTCTTCTTCTTAACTCTGTTGTACTGATACCTCCTCCAAGTGCATGGAGATCTGTGAGTGTAAGGAGTTTAAAAAGAAAAAAAAAATCATTTATTAAGGACATAAGAATCTGACTATTATCTTCTGAAAAATGTGAGCTAACATAGGTTTATGAGCAGCTAGCTCCTGTCTGCTGCAAGTGAGATGAATTAGCTGAAGCAGTGAGGTGCAGAGTACTTGCAAATCAATATATCCCTCAAGTGACCACAGCTCGATACCTCCTGTGCTCCTCAGCACTATCCTTGCACCCCTTTCCTTTTTATCCCATAGACTCCTACAAAAGTAATCCTCGCAACAACAAAGAGAATTTCTGGTCAGTGAAGACCATCTGCTCTCTGGCTTTGTTGCTTCTGTGCTGTAGCATAGCAATAGGCTGCTTTAATGTGTTGGGGATCTTTTTTCTTTCTTTTTTAGTGCCTTTGGTCAAGCCTTTTTCATTATGAGACTCAGGCTAGGACTTACAGATACTTGTTTAGCTTATTATCTGTTAACACTGTTACTTTTGAGTGCAAGCTATGACCAGTTCCTTACCTGGATTCAGTACTTGGAAATAACAAGAACTATTCACTTTATTCTTACGCATTGGAGATGTGACATGTAAGTTACTGTATTGGGTTTGCATGACAAGGTTTTGGTAGGGGGAGGGCTGCAGGGGGGCTTCTGTGAGAAGCTGCTAGAAGCTTCCCCTATGTCCAACAGAGCCAATGCCAGCTGGCTCCAAGATGGACTCGTAGATGGCCAAGGCTGAGCCCATGGGGTGGTAGTGCCTCTGGAATAACATATTTAAGAAGGGGGAAAAAACTGTGCAAGGGCAATTGCAGCTGGCGAGAGGAGTGAGAAAATGTGAGAGAAGACTCTCTGCAGACCCCAAGGCCAGGGAAGAGGGAAGGGGAGGAGGTGCTCCAGGCGCCAGAGCAGATTCCCCTGCAGCCCGTGGTGCAGCCCATGGTGGGGCAGGCTGTGCCCCTGCACCCCATGGAGGTCCACAGTACAGCAGAGATCTTGTGGGGGACCCCACGCCAGAGCAGGTGGATGCCCGAAGGAGGCTGTGACCCCGTGGGAACCCCATGCTGCAGCAGGCTCCTGGCAGCACCTGTGGCCCCGTGGAGAGAGGAGCCCACGCTGGAGCAGGTTTTCTGGCAGGACTTGTGACCCCGTGGGGGACCCACGCTGGAGCAGTCTGTTCCTGAAGGACTGCACCCCATGGAAGGGACCCACGATGGAGCAGTTCATGAAGGACTGCACCCTGTGGGAAGGACTCATGTTAGAGAAGTTTGCAGAGTCCTGGCTCCTATGGGTGGGACCCCATGCTTGAGCAGGAGAAGAATATGAGTCCTCCTCCTCCTGAGGAGGAAGGAGCAGCAGCAACAATGGGTGATGGACTGACCACAACCCCCTTTTCCTGCTCCCCTGTGCTGCTGGGGTGAGGAGGCGGAGAAGATTTGAAGTTGAGCCCAGGGAGGAGTGGGGGGGAAGGTGTTTTTAAGATTTGGTTTCATTTCTCATTACACTTCTCTGATTTGACTGGTAATTTCTAAGCTGATTGAGTCTGTTTTGCCTGTGATAGTAATTGCTGAGTGATATCTCTGTCCTTATCTCGACTTGTGAGCCTTTTGTCGAATTTTCACTCCCCTGTCCAGCAGAGGGGGAGAGATAGAGCAGCTTTGGTAGGCACCTGCTGTCCAGCCAGGGTCAACCCACAGCAGTAAACTACAGAGGTATTCCCAGTTGTCCTAGCTACTGTATGAATTAAATTATTGTGGTATATGGGATTATCTATTAATTTAGAGAATACAATGAAGGTGACAGTTGTTTCTTCATCTAAACTTGTTTTATTCAGATTTTTGTTTACTTATTTGCATTTAAAAGAAGTGTCTCTTAAGTACTAAGATGCATTAAAATTTAAAATTAAACATAGCTTTAAACTTATTTTTTTACCTTTAAAAATTTATTTTAATTAAGAACAAAAAAGCAGAGAAATCCTTTTTTTCCCAAAGCTTCATTTTGAAGTAATCAGAGGATTAAAAAGAAACCATTATCAGAATGTTGTTATTGAATACAAAGCTACTTTAATATTCACTGTAATTCTTGCTGCAGTTGCAAATTTTGCAAGCTAAATGAAGTTATTTTATATGTGCTTGGCTTTACAGTCATTGCAGTTGTACAGCCCTAGGTTTAAAAATGCGTTTGTACCAAGATCGGGAAATTTTAAAAATGTTTTCCACACACCATACACAGGACTTTTTTCATCTATATAACTTTTTTTTTATTGTTTTGCAGACAAAAAAAGCAATAAAGTGATTGCTGTAAGTCACAGTACAGTTATGAATGGCATAATTGCTAATACTTCCAGTTTTGTGTGTAAAATTATCAAAATGCTTTTTTATCATTCATATAACATCCCGAGGTTGATTTTTAAGAGAAAAAAATTTTCTAGAAAGTCTAGAAAAATCTAGAAGTACCAATGTGTGTGTTTGGAAACCTGCCTCTCCATTTGAAAGTTCATAGTTCCCCATAACTATTAGGTATTTTGTGTTTTGGCTATGTATGTATGCTTTTGTTATAACTTGTTGTTTTACTTTCTGTAGTCACATTTAACATTCAAGAAGTAATCAAAGAAGAGCTAATCCTCAAGGCTACGGAAAATGTTTTGTTTTGAAAAACTCTCAGAATAAACCATGCAATTTCATGTTTTAAGTTCCTTTTTTTGAAATAAACCCAGAAAAGCCTGAAAAAACAAACCAGGAGTGATAACAGTTACTGTCACCCAAACAACCTTTGCTGTGCCTCTTATTTTCAAAACTGGACTTACCTGGTTGTTAATGATCCTAATGTTGATTATCATTTGACTTAACCAAAGGGAAAGACAGGCTTGTGTTAAGGCATTAGCTCACAGAACTTGCAGTTCAATTACCTTTTGAGTTTTTACGGTTCATGTTTCTGAGACTTTTTTTCCTGATACCTAATGGATAGAAAAAATTTAGTGAAACAAAGCTTGTGTAAATCTTTACAGGAACTGAAACTCATCAAATATGATGAGGGACTTGACAACACCTCTGCTTTTGGCAGCACTGTAGACCTTGCCCTCTTCTGGCTTCGCTACTCTGAGATGCCAGGGGTTTCTTCACTCTGTGTGGTGGTACTTACAGAGATGCTGAGTGAGGGAGGAGGGGGATTTACAAAGTGTGCCTTTCTCTCACGCTCCATATCCACATAAAGTTAAACTCTTGTCTACTGAGTCCACAATACTCCGTATGTCTTGGTATATAGCATACCATAATAATGTACAATTCTGTGTATATATATTTCTATTTGTGTGTATTAATGTCTATTTTTAACTTTCATATTTAAACATATACAGAAATAATAGCTTTGTATTTTAAATAGGTTCTGATGAAAAAAAGTACTTGCCTAACTGATCCATAAAATACTATGTAAAAATTGAAGACTTAACTTTTCCTGTGAAGAGCAGATAGTCTTCCTGATGCAAAGAATAACAAAATTACTGGCTTTTCCATGATCTTGGCTCATTTTTGGTCCATGCCAGGTGGTTGCTAGAGTTTGACAAATGATTGATTTGGTTTCAAAGGGTGCTTGAATTGCACAAAGCATTTTTCATATTAGAAAAGACATGGTCATTTTTTTCCACACGTTTTAAGATTTATCGCCTTGCATAAGTGTTGTAAATTAGTTTGTTTGCTATTTATTTTCTCTGGATTGCTGTAATTGGTGTCATTAGTTGAAGGGCAGATTTTACAGATGGTTGGAGGGATGGCCTTTTGAGCATACATGCTTCATATTTATTTATTTTTTAAACACTGCTACAGGACTGCAAGTCAGATGGGTAGACTGCTACTTCCCGTTTACTCACCCTTCCTTTGAGATGGAGATCAACTTCCAGGGAGAATGGATGGAGGTCCTGGGCTGTGGGGTCATGGAGCAACAGCTAGTTAACTCAGGTACTGAAACTCCTTTACTTCATTGACATCTCTGTTAGCAAACACTTCCAGGGCAATCAGCTTCACAGTCTGAAATGCCCCCTTCTCCCCTGGTGAGTGCAGACGTTTCTGCTTATGGCAGCTGCCTCAAGTAGTCCTGAGGTGGAATGTAGCCCTTCCATGCTGTGATTTGTGGGTAGCAGTTGGGTGAGCGATCTGGAGCCTGCAAACAGAAAGCTTGCCTTTTATTCTGTGCAGTAAGAAGACAGACAGATGCCAGCTTTCAGAGAAACTGACAAACTACAGTGTGCAGGTTTTTTTCTCTTCTAAGAAAAGTCAAGTGCATTCATAGTTAGGATTTAAACATATCATAAGCAAATAGGATCCCCTAATATTTGGAATATTCTGTATCTCTGAACTATAGAAAGAGGAATGTGAGATTTTTCATACTGCTATTTGATTACTGGGTAAATGGTAGGTTGCCTTTTCCTTTTGTTTCTTTTCTCAGGTTGGTTATTTATGAGGTTGTAAACTGCTAAGAGCAACATCATTTATTTTAATTGAAATTACTGTAGAGAAATGTCACCTTGACAATTTTGCTTTCTAAAACTTAAATGTAAGTACAAAAGAAGAAGAGGGGAAATTGGTGGGTTTTTTTCTGATTATTTTCATACAGAGAATTTTACATGCTTGTTTTTTTCATTAGCTGAGAATAGGCAAATCTTTGTAAGCACAGGGCAGACGGCATGGTCTCACACCTCTGTATCAGACATTGTTTTCCAGTACTGTTTACTATGTTATTAGGTATGGGAACCTTTTGGAATGTGATCTGTTTAATTCTTGTGTGCTTTCAGATAGCCAAGTTATTATACTCAGCTGGGGGGTTTTTGCAGTTGGTTTCCTAAGCTGCTGTTGTATTTTCATGTGCTCTAAATTCTTTCTGTTGAAGTTCAAGTACAAAAACTATGAATAGCTCAATTTTGGCCCCGGTTACTTCGCACAGCTTGTTTTCCTCAAAGTTTGCATGTATTCTAATGTGATAATTTTTGTTTTAAAAATACATCCTCTTCCAGAGTTTCACCCCAGTGGGTTAAAGGTTTATGCTAACATTCTTTCTCAGGCTATTATGTTCATGGTGTCATAAATACAATCCAGTTTGTGATCAGCCTCAGAAGTGAAAAACTACTGTATAATATTATTTCCATCATATGTAACACACCAGTGGCCAGACTTTTTTCTTGAAAGGCTTTTATGTTGCTCAATTCTTATGTTTGGGTTCCTTTAATGTGTCTGAGAAGACATAAACTGTGGCCTCAGAACAGTTACTGTACGCTCTTCTGTGTGTGTATGTGAATGAATGTACATGAAACACCTATGGTTTCTACAGCAAGGTTTTAGATTTACTCTGCCTCAACTCTTTTTCACCTTTCCGAATTATGGTCTTCAAAATTATATGCCTTCTGTACCAAAACTCCCCTAATTATTCATTGTAATCCTAATCTTGCAAGAATCTCATGAATTTAGTAACTCAAGTCTAGCTTTTGAATGACTTTTAGACTTGTATTATTAAAACAAGCAAACAAAAAAATAGTTTCTTTGACTTTATTGGCAAGGTATTTTTAGAGGGTGCAAACTCAGTTGTGGAGGTGCCAATCATTTTTCACTTCACTTAGAGAGAAGTGCACTTTATGTAGCCACAGTTTTTCTGTCCCCTCCAGTAATTCTGTGAAAAGGGTTGGCTACAAATCCTGAGTCTCATGTATCTTAATGTGATTTTATTGAAGCATTGGAATCTGTTTACCACAAGTGAGGAAAAAGTGTGGCTAACAATTAGCTTATTTGGCTTAAAGTAACAATAAGGACAAGGTAGTTCACATTTTCAGTCAAGCATGAGTCTTCCCTGCTTACTGCTGCTCTGAGTTGAGTATTCTCTTCTTTAATCCTCTTTCACAACTATTCAAACCCCCAGTAGGTTCCTGGCATGCCAGCTTGCATCTATTTATGGTGAAGACAAGTTTGCTATTACTAACCCATAGATTTTTAATTTTTTGACTGTGTTATGGCAGCAACTGCTTTTGTCCAAAACTGAAAATGTACAAGTCCGGAAGGAGATTCTCTGTGGAGAAGGATGAAGGTGAAAATTTTCTTTCTTAGCCCCTTTAACATTTTTTTTTGCTAGCAGAACTCAACTGCCTTCCAAAGTCATCCCACATTTGAACAGTGGTAGTTTTTTATAGTTTATTTTTTAATAGTTTATATCCTTCATGCCTCCAGTATCCACAATCAGTGGATATTTCTTCTTACTCTGATCTCATGCCCCTAAATTTCTTTGAAACACCAAAGTTTGTTTTAAACCAGTGCAGACCAGCAAGGAATAGGATCTTCAAACTTGGGAAGCGGGCCTGTGAGTTCCCAGTAGCTTTGTCCTTGTGCCTTTTGTTCCACATACAGCCTGTTTGTCTTTATAGGAGGCAGTGAAGATTTCCAGGCATAAGAAGTTCAGACAAGGTCCATGCCCTGAAGAGGCCAAGACATTAGCCTGAAGTAGCTTTTTCTTTATGTAGGCAGAAGTTTCTAGTGGACTGGCAGGTCTTACAATGACAACTCCCTGCCCAAAATAACCTCACTGTAGTTCCTTGGAGGTTGACCTCCTTATGCATCAAATTTTGATGGCATTGACAGATAGTATTATTTTTTTTTAGTCTTGAGTAAAGAATTCTGTTGTAGCTTAATACCCCATGCAATCAGCATTAAATTTGTTGTTATTTTCTGAAAGATAATATTGTATTGAATTTTTATGATGCCTTCTTATGTTTTGGAAGGAAACTTTCTTTGATTTCAACCACTTTTAAATAGAATGTGATACAGATATTTAGTAGATGTAAATAGAAATGTGTTGGTTAGAGGGAAAAATTGTCAAATATGTTGAAATGTATTGATAGTACTCTTCATCACCTGCTTTCTTACTCTGCTCTTTTTTCCTTTTGAGGTCTGTGAAGAATCTATGTGGCCCTCTTTATTTTCCTGCATGCTTCTTAACAAACTATATTTCTACTTTCTGACATAGATTTTTCACAGCACAGGTGTGATAAAGAACCGATATATGAGAGGCAACAGAACAAAATAGTGCTTTTTGTCGCAACTTTATAATTCTTCAACTTTCATAGAGCTTCATCTCACCCTTGGAATATCCCATTCTTAAAATGTAAACCAGAGCAGGATTTTCCCAGGGAGGGACAACCAGCCTCGTTCTTAGTCATTCACCTGGTAGTGAGGTTGATCCAGTCTTTTGAACCATTCAGATTTTCTGTGTTAACAGCAAGGAACTTTTCTGTTGTCTTGGTGAGTGGATGAGCAAGTAAAATTTTATAAAGGCTGTAAGTTGCATTTCCCTTAAAGTCAGTCCAGCTATGAGTGGTTTTTTAATAATTGTTTGCATTCAGGAAAGTCTCCTACTACTAACAAAATGGAGAATATGGTGTTATTTACTGTTTTCTAACAGTGATAGTTGCTATTTTTGAAATAAAATTATATACCCTGTGATAGTGTTTTTATATAACAGTTGAAAAAATATGCATTATTGCAAAGATGCACTGAATTGAAAGGAATGTTACATGTTCCCCTAAGGCCAATGGTGTTAAACTAGAGCAATTATTTGGTATAATGTGAACATAGAAGATCACTATTATGATCACTGTTATAATCACTATTCATTAAGAATTATAAAATCTAACACTGTACTGTTTAACTTTCCATTTTGGGGTGTTTTGTTTTTAATCTTAAACTGTACCAGTGCACATAACTTTTAATAGGAATGTTATGAATTTTGATATAAAGAAAAGTTTATTCTGGTTAACACTGAGAAAAATATAGAAACTTGACAGTATAATAGCACATACTCTGTTTTACGTTCAGGATGAGGATACAAGGAAATTTTATAATTCAGTAGAACTGATATCAATTAACAGCACATAAGATACTTGTATCTGTGCTTCAGGAGCTTGTTATCCAAGATTTGCAAAGCCTGGTGTTCATTGGTAGGTGCTGAAGTTCCCAGGTCTGTATGGAGTTATATAATTCAAACCTTTGAATACAGGATGTTGCTTACTCAGAGGCTGCAATCACATAGTGTTGCTTAGTACCTGTGAAATTGAAGCAGTTAAGGTGTGATCCTTTGCTGATTGAAATCAATGGCAATGTTCTCGGTGGTCAGTGTTGCAGAATATGTTAGCTGGGGACAGAAGGAAGAAAATTGGACTAAAGTTCACCCCAAACCCAAGAGACTATAAACCCTATTAATTTGAAAACAAAACAAAAAAACCCCACACAAACAATCCCCCTCCCCAAAAAAACCCGAACTCCACAAGCAAAACAAAAAAGCTACAAAAGGGAATTCCATATTTGTTCTGAACTCCTGCAGTATGCAAGAAAATAACCTAAGGGTGGCACACCAAATCAAGCCAAAGTCTGGGACATCCGTGTATGCCTGTATCATGATGGCATCCCAAGCAGGTGCCTAAAGATAAGCACAACAGGCATAGTTATGCTGATCCTTCCCTGATACATTCCTGCAGCTGTCCATGTTTTCAGTAGTCATTGTGGAATTCTGTTCCATTCATTTGTTGAAATGTTTTCTGTGTCCTGGTAAACCTTTACTGTCTGCAGTGTCTTGTAGCAAGAAACTGCATAACTTGCATGAGGAATCGCTTCCTTTTTGTTTTGACCAACAAGTTACAGTTAGAGGTACTCTTCCATGCCATAAGAGACACTGAGTAGCAGTTTTCTTTTTCCTTGTTTAAGCTACTCAGAATTTGTTTAGATCTCAGCTGTAACTCTCATCAGTGGCTTCTTTCTAGACCAAAGGGTCCTGGTCAGACATTCACTCCCTGTGTGGGAGCTGATCCATATGTTCTGATAGTTATGATCACTCATGCCTGCATCTTCTCCACGTTATTACTGTAGGAGGTCAGTGTGTAATGTTCAAGCTGTGGGCATACGGTGATTCTGTACACTGGCATAAA